ATAATGACACCGTCTATGAGTCCATATTCTTTCGCTTCTTTTGCACTCATGAAAAAATCACGGTCAGTATCCTTGTTGATCTTTTCTAAACTTTGGCCAGTGTGATATGAGAGATATATACCCATTCAAGTTTTCCTTATCATGCAGCATTTCATTTGCCTGAGGATCATTTAAAAAGCAATAAAACTAGCCAATCCATGAGGTCCTCCTTCGTTAGTGTAGTCATGTGTGGTATCACTACTTGTAAGATGTTCAAAACAAATTGGAACCCAATCCAACCAAAATCCTACTAACTACAACCAAACAATATAATGATAGGGAATGGGAAAGAAAAGTTAAATTTAAGGTTTTTTAGGACTTCTTTTACTATTTTGTATTCCCATATACCAAAAAATTGAACTTATACAAGATTATTTTTACTTCATTTAATCACTGAAAAATTGGATTGCTTAGATGTGGCTTTTCATAGCTGATTTGGTTGATGAAAATGCAAAAACTGCATCAAACTATCCTCTTGAACAACCTCAAGTATTTTAGAGTTTTAAGGGACTTTCTCAAAATAAGAGATACTCAAGAGCAAGACTCTAACCAGCAACTTAACCCATGACTCTCGTACTAGAACCACAAACAAATCTCAAGAGTTGTGATTTATATCAAGGTTAAGCTGTCATATGGCACATAACTCCGACACAGAAATAAGCCATTTCTGGCCAGCAAATATCAGATATTAACTTAAATTCCGAACAAGGATTCTCTCTGTATACCGGGGACCAATTCGGTCTATTGGTTACATAAAAAAAAATGTACTTCTGTCCATGGAATTTCATCGAGTTCAATGAAGACAAATTTGGGTCTTTCAAAATGCCAGCACACTTATTCAACTTTTACTATCAAGATAGGTTTTAATTTTCAAAAATAAATCCTAAACTATTATAAGCAAACAAGAGGTTTATGCAATAGATTATAGAAATAAAAAGGTCGAAAATGGGGCCTATACCTGAATATCTATGTCAGTTTGCCCTCCGTGAGCTCCACCAAGCGATTGGTGAATCATTATCCTTGAATTTGGCAAGCTGTATCTCTTTCCTTCAGAAACGAGGAAGGAATACAAAGTTAGAAGAAGCATTTGTCATGTGTGGAGAAAAAAGGGAAATGAGAGACACCATAAAATAAAATAAAGGAACATATACATTATTATTACTAGTTGTAAATGATCCTCCTGGAGAATTTACATACACGACAATATCCTGATCAACATATCACAAAATTAGTAGTTGATTAAGTGCTTGAACTACAAAATTGAGCTTAAGACATACTTGAAAAGATGAAAGACAAACTCAGGGTAATAATCACAATAAAAAATGAGGAAAAACAAAAATATAAAGGAATGTAAAGGATTAATTTACATGGGCTACGACATAAGATAAACCATGAGTTTTTTAGTAACTGAAAATGACGAGCAAACCTTGCTAGGATCAACAACATCGAGGTAAAGAAGTTGAGCTACTACGATGTTAGCCATATCATCATCAACTGCTCCACCACAACGTATTATTCTCTAAATACCGAAACATTTTATTAACCTAGTCTATGAGCAATTACAAAAAAAAATGTAGAGAATTTATGGAAAAAGTGTGTATAATTTTAAAGGATGTAAAGTTGTGACATTTTAAGAGAGAGAATGAGATAGATTAAGGAGGAGAGAGAGTTGACAAAAAAAATAAGGTGTGGGTTCCACCTCTTTGTGAGAGTGAAAGGATGTAAATTGTGTAATTTTAAATGATAGACACTTTTCCCAAAATTTATTGGTATTGTGTTCCAAACAATTCAAGGTATTATTATCAAAGGGAGTGAGTGAGGGTAAATTTTTAATAAACCCTAAACATGAATCCCCATAAAAATAAAATAAAATAAAATAAAATAAAATGTAAGAGTAAAATGAAGAGCCTCGAAATTGCATTGAAGATAATTGAACAAAACAAACAGCTCACCAGGGGAAGCGTGAAGGGTGTGAAGCGAAAGAAAGGTTGTGAGAGTGAGAGTGAGAGTGACAAGAAGTTGTAGGGGTAGAGGAGGAATCAGGAAAGAACAAGAGAGGTGAATCGAAGAGAGGATGTGTGCACTACGTAGCACCGATATCGACACGGGGACACGTGACACGATACCACACAATTTTTTGATACGTTAATTTTAAAATATGTTAGATTTTGACATGCTAGGATATATTAAATAATATTTTTAATTTATATAGTGTATATTATATTTAAGGAAAAAATATTTGTCATTTTAAATAACATAAAGTTATGTCATTTTAAGAGAGAGACAGACACAGAAAAAAATTTTATTTAAATTTTAAATTAAAAAAAACCACCAACCTTCTCTCTTCCATGATTTCCATTTTTCTGTGTTTATCTCTCTCCTAAAATGACATAACTTATGTCATTTAAAATGACAAACACCAAACCCTATATTTAATATTCAATAATTTAACAAAAAAATGAAACTAAACTTATAATATTCATCAATTTTACAAAGAAATCTAAGATATTCCAAATATTTATATTAAACTCAATAAAATCGTAATCGTAATACAACAAATCTAATAGTTAAAACTAAAAATTCAACGCAATGCAACCTTTGAATTTTTCTTTTAAATTTTTATAACGCGTGTCGAAGTGTAAGAGATTGTCAAAAAGTGTCAGATATGACACATCAAATTTTTTGAAGTGTATAAGTGTGCACGGTTATTCAATTTGATTTGGTACAAACAACTATGCTATTATTATTGAAGTGGCGGCTAAACCAAGCGCACACAGACACTACCTTGACTTCGACACTCGCATGTTCTTCATAAAATATCTCTGATTTCATTGCTTATTGCCTTGTTCCTTTGGCGGGTTCACTTTTTAAAATTTGTACTTTCTTTTTTAGTTTAATATTTTGGCGATAAAATTTATTATACATTTTTATTAATCAAATTGTAATTTTCCTTATTTAATTTATGGGTTATATTTATCTCATTCAATATAAGATTAACCAAATTTTTACACACATATAACAAAGGTGGATCGAACTCTATTTTTTTTATTTCCAATTATTTATGGATCTCTCTTGTAATTTTATGTCACTAACATGAGATAACTTATCTCCATCAATATAAGAAAAATATTTTCCTTAATTTATAGTTTAAAAAAGCTAAAATAAATTTTATATATATATAGGGTAATACATTTGTTACGTAACAGGAAAACAAATGGTTTTCATGCACAAACAACAATTAAGAGAGATGAACAATTATAAAGAGAGAGAAACAAAAATTAACGGGTCCCACATCAATTGTTGTATGTGCTGCAAATTTTTTTGTTTTCCAGTTACATAACAAATATATTACCCATATATATATATCGAAATTGATCCTTTCGTTTTTAAATGTTGTGCTACTTAATTTGGCTCAAGACCGCTACACCTACAGTCAGAGCTATTCATGTAATTTCTGGAGATATTACAAGACTGTAAGTGATAATTGTTCAGTTTTTATTTTACCTTAGAAAGAAATAATTTTTTTTTGTGTGTGTATGAAAAACTTGTTAACTGAAAATTTTATTTGATAATACACAATTTATGTTTCATTCGTTCTAATTTTCAATTTTCAATAACAAATTTTATAATGGATATATTTAATAAATAGTGCGTCCAAAAATGGAAAAAGAAAAAAAAAATTTCAATTTTTTACTGATTTTATCAAACATAATTTTTTATTATTCATATTTCCCAAACTAAAAACTGAATAAAAAAATTAAAACGTTGACATGCCCGCCTTTTAATCCCTTCATCAATATTTTGCAAAAATTTTCTCTACACTTATCATTAATAAATAGGTGATTTTAATATTAACTATTTTATAACAATCAGCTGACTTCGTTTGAGAATATGACAAAGTTTAGAGTTTTATGAAAAGAAAAACAAAAACTAGAAAGGAATTTTATGATTCCACACAGGGTGTCAAAACTGGTTGAAACGACACGTATTTTATACGAACACGACACAAATTTTTATTCGTGTCAAAATCTTCAACATAACACGACATAAATTTTTTGCGAGTTGACATGACACAACATGAATAACACGCAAAATAGGAGTCAAAACGGTAATTAGTAAAAATTAAAAAAATTAAAAAATAATAATAAAATAATTTAAAAAATATGGATCAACACGAACACAAATACATCAAAACGAACACGATACGAATTTTTTGTCATTTTTTTTTTCAACACGAACACGATATTATTACTTTTGCGGGTCAACCCGAACAAAAAATTTCGTATCGCATCGCGAATCGATCCACGTGTCATAACCTATATTGACACCCCAAAATCCACCTAAAGACGAACATGACAGTTGTGGTTATTCTTATATGCTAGCACTTACATCTATTTTAATTTATGAACCAATGATGGTTTGTATTATTATTACTATTGATGAAATGTATTTTTAAAATTTTAAATTCAGCTTACAAATTATATGAAAACTAACTCCAAAATTTTAATTAGCGAAATATTTTAATAAATCCTTAAAAACAATAAGTAAATTTTTCTCCAAATAAAATAAATAATCAAATGAATAAGTTAATTAATAGATATGAAATCCTATACCCAAAAAAAAAAAAAAAAAAAAAAACTGATTAATTTAACCATTATCAAACGATTTCTCTGCTCCTATTAAAAAGGATAAAGTAATATTTTATTAAAATAATTGGTAAAATTATGAGATGCCAAAAAGAATGTGCAAGTTCAAACTACTCTATTATCTTTGCCATTTGCTTAATACCCCTTCTGATGGGTTCCCTTTTAACGTTTTTCAAAGCTCATCACAGAAATTAGTCATCCCTTAGAAAAACAGACAGAGAAAATAGACAGAACAGTACACGTTTGAAAATGGACAGAGAGAAAATAAGTCCTCTCCATTTCTAATTAACTTGATAATATTATTACATACCGGCTTTGAAAAAATATGTATGATGCAGCAAATGGGCAATCTGCAATAGGAGCTCTCAAAACACCATTGCTCTAACCCAAAGCAAATACCTAAAATATATAACGATGGTACCATATAACTAGCATAAACCACTATTGCTGACAAAGGATCATTGGCAACACCAAAGTAAAATAACAATACACTACCAACTATTTAAAAGGGTGTAATCATGCATTGAAAGTATATCATAGAAGTTCCTTTAATTGTCCCCATCGCAAGGTATTGCCAAAATGACTTCTAGCTAGTATTGCTAATAAAAAGAAATAAACAGAATAAGACAGGTCTGTCCATGCCTTATCCATTTCCAATTAACTAAATACCATTATCGCAAAAACTCTTATACCAGCATTGAAAAATGTATAATAGAGCAAATGAACAATCCGCAAAATGAGCTCTCTACCAAAAGCTCAACGCACAATTTCTGTAATCTAAAGCCTCTACCAGAGACAAAAACATCAATGGTGCAATATAACTGGCAGAAACCAGTGATTGAGGATCATTGGCAACATCAAGAGATAGTTTCATCAGCCGTCTTCCCCTGGACCGCTTTGTAGCATTGGAGACTGCAAAGAGGAAGCTTTGATTTTGAATCTCGATACTTATATGGATTCGAACAAGATGGACCAGCACACTTCTCACGAGGTGGAGGATAACTGAAACAATACCCAATGATATCATTAACAGAGAAAGAAAGTTTTGATGTGTTAGCCAAACAAACTTACAGCACATGTTTCTAACTTCTGACCAATGTTTGTTGTTGTCAAAATCAGGGAAACAGCTAAAGCCAAAGGCACTCACTACGACTTATTTTTTAATATCAATTTCATTCTTCTCAATTTTTTTCCCTCCTTATTTTATTTGCCAAACATATCTGAAAAAGTTATAAGGAAAACAGTCTAACAGGTTTAATACATCAATTAGCAAAGCCAGATGCCTTACATGCATAAAAATCTAACTTCTGGCCAATGATTGTCGTCAAAATCACGGAAACAGCTAAAGCCAAAGGCAAAATACTCATTCCTTTTTTGGTAAATAACAATTGTTTTTTTAATATCAATTTTCATTCTTCTCATTTTATTTGCCAAACATATCTGAGCGAGTAATCAGGAAGAAAGTCTAACAGGTACCATAAACCAAATTAGCATAGCCTGATACCTGACGGGTTTGGAGTTCAATATGCTAGGCAGCCCCATTTCATCAGGAAAAGTCACAACTGTCCCAGTAGGACCCATCACATATCTGATGGTGCTAGATGCAAGCATTCGTGCATTGGCTTCCTTCTCCTGTAAAGAATATTCCAATAAAAAATGAAAGCTGTATAAAAAATATATTGAAATAGAGTGTAGGAAATTCATTTAGCACTGCAAAACCTGTGCCAGCTCTTCTTGGCGCTTCTTTATTTTATCTTCTCGCTTCTTCCTACTGGAGTCTTGACAAAGTATTTTTCTGATAGCTTCTTCCTACAAAACGAATTCAAATTGACATGCCTATCTGTGTAAAATTGAACTTCATTAGGGGGAAAAGCGCAATTTGGAGAGAACAAAAACATACCTCAGATTCCCTGGCAGCCTTCTCAACTTGCATTTTACGCCTCTGGGCAGCCTCAGCTTTCTTCAGTTGCTGCTCCACTTCCGAAAGCTTCTCTTTTTGCTCTATAGTTAAGATATAACATTATAAATAAAGCACCATGGTTAATGACTCTAGTATGAAATTGATAAAATAAAGTACAGGTAAATGCTCACTTCTGGGCGGTGCAGGTGGTAATCCATTGGGAAACTCAATTAAACTTGCACCAGATGCAGAGGCATCTTTGCTTGATTGAAGGGCCCGTTGGCGTGTTGTAAGAGTCATTTCCCTCTTACTGTCCATCAATACATCAACAGATTCCTTCCTCTGTTTCTTCTTTTTCTTATCCTCCAGGTCACCATCGGACACCGACTCCTCTTCGTCCTCATAATCTGTGTCCTCATACATTTTATCAGATCTAGACCTTTTCTTACCATTTTTGCCTGACCTTGACGAGGATGCATTTTCCATATTCGAGACACTAGAGAGTTTCCGACGTTTCTTGCTTAATTCTTCTTCATCTCTGTAGACTGCAGAAACTTTTGATGTTTTCAGCTTTTCCAAGTATCGGATCTCATCATCCTCGTCGTCATCACCGAATTCGTCATCAAGCACACGTCTCTTTGGTACTCTCTTGCTCTTACGAACTGGTTCCGACTTGTCTCCCTGCTTACCAGATGCGTTCTTTCCAGATATCTTCCCCATCAATGATTCCTCCTTCCCACGACCAAAACCACCCCTTGAGAAATCCTTCCACGGAACGCCTTGCAGACCACTCCTCTTATCACAAGGAGAATTATTATCATCTGAATTACTCTGTAATAACACAATTTGATGAGAGCAATCAAATGGGGTTCTAAAGTCAAAAAAGTCAAGAGAAATTATTACATTTAATGATAAGAAATCAAGACCAAAGATATTATTCCATAAAAGTAAGATCTAAATAACTGATACTATCCTTGCAGACAGGCCAGATAAGATATGACTCAATAGTCTCGTGAATGAGAAATGCCTCGATAATCTCGTGAAATAACACATTTTATAGAAATTTCGCACCTACTAGTGATTAATTCTGAAAAAGCCAAACATCCTATGGACAACTCCCAACTAAGGTATCAAGGACCAACTAAGCTATTAGGTGGAAGCACTCGGATGGTTTAAAATCTCTAACTATCCCCTTTAGGCAAGAGTCGTTTGGGCTTGGAGCATAGACAACGCACAGGCCCACTTAACCTTGCGTTAAAATTTAATTTAATTATGAAAATTGAGACAATAAGGATTAACTACTTGGCCATAGAAACGCTGATAACATGTCATGGAGTAACTGCTAAAAGTTTAAGCGGCTTTATCTCTAACACATGTTATAACTATAAATGTTGAGGTCTAGGATGCTGTCATAAATTCTAATATAATCTATTATTGCATCCAAAACAGAAATACCTGTTGCTTTTGACGGGGTCTGGAGGCATCTGATGAACGTGAGCTCTTCATAGTCGATCCACTTCCTGAAGCACCATTGGATGCAGAGTTAGCTTGAATAGTACGCGTCACACCGCCAACCTTGAGTTTAACCTTTTTAACCCTGTTCTCACTCCCCAATCCATCCTGAGAAACACCAAACGGCCCCAAACTCAGACTCTCGGGATTCCTTCCACCACAGATATCTGCATTTCTTGACTCTAAATCCAAGCTATCATTCGATTTGCTAGAACCTTTCCAATTAGCTGGAGCAAGAACGCCTTCACTACAGCGTTTATTATATAAACCACTCCTTCCAGGCTCATTCTTATAAAACGCATGGAACACTCCATCCTTTTTACTCTTTTTGTGAGATTTATCATCTTCGGCTCCGGTAGTTGCGGAGACCTGAGAAACACAATGATTAAGATTGAATTCTTTTCTCTTGGAATTAGTGTCATAACCAGCATTCTCATCACTAGATGCCTTGCCAGCATCCTCTGAAGGTGGCGTCGATGACAAGGGAGACAGGTCATGACCTTCAGAAACAGGCTGTGAATCAGGTCGAGGCCTGCGCGAAGTTTGACTCCTCTTCCTCCTCACAGCATTGCTGAGACCATCAAACCGGGTACCCCCTAAATCTTCCATTAAAGACTTGTTATTATATAATGGCACAGGTAGAATTTCTGGTGCCCCTTTCAACTACTGGTGAGGGAAAACTCTCACAAACCACAATTATTGCCGCTGCAATTGAGTTATATAAAACCATCAGCAATCATATTGATCATTCTTAAAATCAAACCATACAATTTCCAATTTAACATAACTGTTACTGCTTTCTTCTACTATTTAAAAGAAAATGACTTGAAAAAAAGCAACTCAATTTTGAATTTTAATTAAGAATTTTTTTATTTGTCACATGTTTTTCAATCGACTACAACATTTGAAGCGATAGGAGGGAAGCAGCATCATGTGGCATTTGTGTATAGTGTTGCGGTTCCGTTTACAGTCAAAACTGACCGATACGAATTATAAAATTCCTTTTTTTAGGAACAAAAACCTTCGAAACCTAAGCATGGATTAGAGTACTAAGAAGCAAAAAAAAAAAAAAAAAACAGAAAAAACTAAAGATTCAATAAAATTGAGAAGAAGAAGCAAGGGTGAATCGGGTAAAGACCTCGTTCTCGGTAACAGAATTTTCCCTTTATGCTAGCGCCCTTAGCCGTAGGGGTGGGATCAAGGGGAAGAAGGTATTGGAGCAATGCCTTCTCTTTCGTGACTTCAATTAGAGGTAATTGGGTAGCCTTCAGTGCGAGTATGAAAGCTAGCCTCTTTGCTCTGTGCGGCGAAGGTTTGGGGTTGGGGAAGATGGCTTAAGAAAAATATGACGAAAACAGAGAAGAGCGTTTTTAATACAACCAAATAGGGGTTCATCTGCTGCTGATTCTTCTGAAAGTGCCATGTTTGGAAGACATATATAGAGCTCATAAAAGTATATGCGTGAAAATTCCGATTAAATCTTAGATTTTAAGATTCTTTTCAATCAAAGTGATTGTATCAATATAGAGCTCATAAAAGTATACGCGTGAAAATTCCGATTAAATCTTAGATTTTAAGATTCTTTTCAATCAAAATCATTGTATCAATATAGAGCTCATAAAAATATACGCGTGAAAATTCCGATTAAATCTTAGATTTTAAGATTCTTTTCAATCAAAATTATTGTATCAAAATTTCAAACAATCTTACGATTTTAAGATTTTTTTAATAAATTGATTTAATATTTTTTAATAAATTAATTATCCATTTATTACCGTTTTAAAAATAATTACACATTTATTGCACAATATGACACCCAATTTGAGCGACTAAAGACGTCTAAATTAGGCGTCACTCAGGAGGCAATCACGCCTAATTTAGGCGTTACTTATCAGGTGTTGACACGTGTCATATTTTTTTTCCAAAAAAAAAATAATTTAATCATAAAACTTCTGAACGTCATAACTTTTGACTCGGATATCCAAATCAGGTAATTTTTTTTTTATTTCACATAACTTTTCGAGATCTACGCAATGACATCTCATTTGACATATTTTATTTCTCACAAACAAAATTTAAATTTGCAAGAATGGTATTATAAGAGCGGTTAAACTCAGAAGCCTTTGAGTTCTGGATTTGTGATTTAATATAAAAATAAAATAAAATTTTGATTTGTGATTTAATTTTTGTTATAATAAAAGAAATTTAAAATACTTTTTTTATTATAACAAAATTTTGTTTGTGATTTAAATTAAAAATAAAAATAAAAATTATTATTAATAAGGAAAACAAAATAAAGATTTGATTTGTGATTTAAACTAAAAAATCAATTTGAAAAATCTGTAGAAATAAAGCAAATAATTAAATAAATATTCTAAATCACTAAGAAAGAAGGATATTATTTTTGAAATTAATGATTAATGCTATAAGCTTCTGGTTTATTATTTGTGGTCTGAAATTAATTATGGCTTATGAATGTTTTTCAAAAATAAAATTATTTAAATTAGGCGTGATTGCCTCTTGATTGAAACCCAATTTAGACGTCATTGGTGACGTGTCAGGTGTTGACACGTGTCACACTTTTAAACTCAGAAGCCTCTGAGTTCAGGGTTTGTGATTAATATTAAATCAAGATTTGATGTGTGATTTAAATTAAAAAAATAACAATGATTATTAATAAGGAAAACAAAATAAAGATTTGATTTGTGATTTAAACTCAAAAATCAATTTGAAAAATCTGTATTAATAAAGGAAATAATTAAATAAATATTCTAAATCTCTAAGGAAGAAGGATATTATTTTTGAAATTAATGATTAATGCTATAAACTTCTGGGTTGTTATTTGTGGTCTGAAATTAATTATGGCTTATGAATGTTTGTCAAAAAATTTTTTTTACCTAAATTAAGCATGATTGCCTCGTGATTGAAACCCAATTTAGACGTCATTGGTGACGTATCAGGTGTTGACACGTGTTCACACCTGTCACATTTTTAAACTTAGAAGTCTCTGAATTCTAGGTTTGTGATTTAATATAAAAAATAAATCAAGATTTGATGTGTGATTTAAATTAAAAAAATAACAATTATTATTAATAAGGAAAATAAAATAAAGATTTGATTTGTGATTTAAACTCAAAAATCGATTTGAAAAATCTGTATTAATAAAGGAAATAATTAAATAAATTTTCTAAATCTCTAAGGAATAAGGATTACCTGATTTAAATTTAAACTAGTGAATTACCCGTGCCGATGCACGTGGAAAAAAATTGGTTTGTTTGGCATGGTGGGTCGGCCCTCCGGGCCGAACTCATTTTGCAGTATTTCAAAGGTCCCAAACAGTCATTTTTTTAAATAACAAAACAGTCATTCATTGTTACATTAAAAATAGGAAAGAAAATAGGATAATAAAGGTCATATCTTTAAAGATAGATAAGGAAAAGAGACGCGAATAAACAGTCATTTTTTTTGTCTTTACCTGTACCATAAAACAAAGTTATATCTTTGAAGAAAGAACCCGATATACTATAGCAGTCTTTGAAATACTTCCTTGTAAACTATATTAAGGGTCCTATTCGTAACGCAGCCATTTTCATCAAGTATCAATATCTTCAATCCATGCTTACTCTTTACTCTAGACAGTGCCACATATAATTGCCCATGAGTGAAGACAGGCTTAGGGAGATAAATTGCAACATGTGAAAGTGATTGTCCTTGACTCTTGTTGATAGTCATGGCAAACGATACAATCAGGGGGAATTGTCTTCTTTGGAAATTTACAGGAAATGTATGACTCGATGGGCTCATCGTCATTCTAGGGATTAACACAGTTTCCCCTATATTGCTTCCTGTAAGTACAATTGCCTCAAGAACATGATTCCCTAATTTTGTAATAAGCAATCTCGTGCCATTGCTTAAACCTCTCGACTGATCAATATTTCTTAATAGCATTACTGGAACTTTAACTTTCAAGATTAATTTATTATCAGGAATCCCTGAGCATGATAATGTATTTAAGAAATGTTGTATGTTTAAAAAAGATTAATAAATCAAGGATTGTTAGTCATTGTTGAATGAGATAACCCAAGCAATAATCTTACATGGCACTGGTGGAGGCAGAAAATGGAGTAAGATTTTCTACAGAAAAATTGAAAAAGTCAATTAGATAAGAACACAAATAATCGAAGTTCATTGAGGAAAGCCTTCGCACGCACCATTCAAAGGAAACGATTCCACAACGTTTGGCTGGTAGGAATTAGATATTATTTTATTATAATCACAACCACGTGGCATGCTATGCGCAGTACCAACTGGGAACAATACAAAACCGAAAAAATAATAAATCAAACTTCCAATAGTATAACGTTGCTAAAGCTGTCAAATTGGTATAAAAGAGTAACAAACCGTTTGTAATATTATGCAGTCGTTGTCTGTTGGAGCTTATATCATTCTGAATATTGCTCACCTTTGAAAGTCTACATGTTTTAAATATGGGGCAATAACAAAATCCACTAAAGAAGTTCCGCAGTTAAATTTAAAAAATCAACAAACCATGAATGACATAAATGACGAAATAAAATTACCTGCCATCGGTAGAGGGAGAAAACCCCAAAAGTTGTTCTACACAGCAATGAGTAGAATTAATGAGTAAAATTATTTAGTTGTGAAAATGAGAATTGATTGTCTGTTGCAATCAACCTAGATGATTCACTCAGACCTCTGTTTCTTCTTTTCCTTGAAGGAGTATGGAATTCTGATTTGTATTTGCTCATTTTGATATTGTCTCCGTAGCAGTTTAGTCTTCAAATGATATGGTGTTTTGGTTTTTTAGCTCGATACCTTGCTGCAAGAAATGCAGTTTTTTAGCTCGATACGTTCAGGAAAAGAAATGCCAGAAATGCGTTGAGATTCAGTAGTTATAAAAATGTGAAGTTTATGAATTAAACTGAATAAATATTTAAAAAACAAAGATAACGACAAAAGAGTGATTCAGTAGTTATAAATGAGATTTTCATGGAATAAAATAGTCATTTGTTTTAATAACAAAACACTCATACCTGATTCCACTGAATCAAGAGGTTAATAAAAGATTCAAATTAAAAAATATGAAAATAAGGAACAAAGGTTGGGATATGTATAATTTTTTTTTTACTAATTAATTTTTTTTTCGAGTAAATAGAATTGTATTCTTTAAAAAATGTGAAGTTTTTGAATTAAACTGAATAAAGATTTAAAAAACAAAGATAACGACAAAGAGTGATTGAGTAGTTATAAATCAATGAATATCCCTTTTTTAACAGTCATTTCATGGAATAAAACTTTCATTTGTTTTAATAACAATGAATATCCCGTTTTTTTTCAAAAAACGTAAAGATTTGAATTAAACTGAATAAAGAATAAAAAAACGATTAGATTACATGATCAACATCAATTATTATAAAAACAAAGATAACGACAAAAGAGTGATTGAGCAGTTATAAATGAGATTTTTATGGAATAAAACACTCATACCTGATTCCACTGAATCAAGAGGTTAATAAAAGATTCAAATTTAAAAATCTGAAAATAAGGAACAAAGGTCGGGATATGTATAATTTTTTTTTCTAATTAATTTTTTTTCGAGTAAATAGAATTGTATTCTTTAAAAAATGTGAAGTTTTTGAATTAAGCTGAATAAAGATTTAAAAAATAAAGATAACGACAAAGAGTGATTTATTAGTTATAAATTAATGAATATCCCGTTTTTTTAACAGTCATTTCATGGAATAAAACAGTCATTTGTTTTAATAACAATGAATATCCCATTTTTTTTCAAAAAACGTAAAGATTTGAATTAAACTGAATAAAGGTTAAAAAAAACGATTAGATTACATGATCAACATCAATTATTTAAAAAACAAAGATGACAACAAAAGAGTGATTTAGTAGTTATAAATGAGATATTCATGGAATAAAACAGAAATTTTTTCTAATAATAAAACACTCATACCTGATTCCACTGAATCAAGAGGTTAATAAAAGATTCAAATTTAAAAATCTGAAAATAAGGAACAAAGGTCGGGATATGTATGAGTTTTTTTTTTTTATTAATTAATTTTTTTTCGAGTAAATAGAATTGTATTCTTTAAAAAATGTAAAGTTTTTGAATTAAACTGATTAAAGATTTAAAAAACAAAGATAACGACAAAGAGTGATTTAGTAGTTATAAATCAATGAATATCCCGTTTTTTTAACATTCATTTCATGGAATAAAACAGTCATTTGTTTTAATAACAATGAATATCCCATTTTTTTTTCAAAAATCGTAAAGATTTGAATTAAACTGAATAAAGGTTAAAAAAAACGATTAGATTACATGATCAACATCAATTATTATAAAAACAAAGATGACAACAAAAGAGTGATTTAGTAGTTATAAATGAGATTTTCATGGAATAAAACAGAAGTTTTTTCTAATAACAAAACACTCATACCTGATTCCACTGAATCAAGAGGTTAATAAAAGATTCAAATTTAAAAATCTGAAAATAAGGAACAAAGGTTGGGATATGTATAATTATTAATTTTTTTTACTAATTAAGTTTTTTTTCGAGTAAATAGAATTGTATTCTTTAAAAAATGTGAAGTTTTTGAATTAAACTGAATAAAGATTTAAAAAATAAAGATAACGACAAAGAGTGATTTATTAGTTATAAATCAATGAATATCCCATTTTTTTAACAGTCATTTCATGGAATAAAACAGTCATTTGTTTTAATAACAATGAATATCCCGTTTTTTTTCAAAAAACGTAAAGATTTGAATTAAACTGAATAAAGGTTAAAAAAAACGATTAGATTACATGATCAACATCAATTATTTAAAAAACAAAGATGACAACAAAAGAGTGATTTAGTAGTTATAAATGAGATATTCATGGAATAAAACAGAAATTTTTTCTAATAACAAAACACTCATACCTGATTCCACTGAATCAAGAGGTTAATAAAAGATTCAAATTTAAAAATCTGAAAATAAGGAACAAAGGTCGGGATATGTATGAGTTTTTTTTTTTTTACTAACTAATTTTTTTTCGAGTAAATAGAATTGTATTCTTTAAAAAATATAAAGTTTTTGAATTAAACTGATTAAAGATTTAAAAAACAAAGATAACGACAAAAAGTGATTTAGTAGTTATAAATCAATGAATATCCCATTTTTTTAACAGTCATTTCATGCAGTAAAACAGTCATTTGTTTTAATAACAATGAATATCCCGTTTGTTTTTCAAAAAACATAGAGATTTGAATTAAACTGAATAAAGGTTAAAAAAAACGATTAGATTACATTATCAACATCAATTATTATAAAAACAAAGATGACGACAAAAGAGTGATTTAGTAGTTATAAATGAGATTTTCATGGAATAAAACAGAAGTTTTTTCTAATAACAAAACACTCATACCTGATTCCACTGAATCAAGAGGTTAACAAAAGATTCAAATTTAAAAATCTGAAAATAAGGAACAAAGGTCGGGATGTGTATAATTATTATTATTTTTTACTAATTAATTTTTTTTCGAGTAAATAGAATTGTATTCTTTAAAAAATGTGAAGTTTTTGAATTAAACTGAATAAAGATTTATAAAACAAAGATAACGACAAAAAGTGATTTAGTAGTTATAAATCAATGAATATCCCGGTTTTTTAACAGTCATTTCATGGAATAAAACAGTCATTTGTTTTAATAACAATGAATATCCCATTTTTTTTTCAAAAAACGTAAAGATTTGAATTAAACTAAATAAAGGTTAAAAAAACGATTAGATTACATGATCAACATCAATTAGTATAAAAACAAAGATGACGACAAAAGAGTGATTTAGTAGTTATAAATGAGATTTTCATGGAATAAAACAAAAGTTTTTTCTAATAACAAAACACTCATACCTGATTCCACTGAATCAAGAGGTTAATAAAAGATTCAAATTTAAAAATCTGAAAATAAGGAACAAAGGTCGGGATATGTATAATTATTATTATTTTTTTTACTAATTAATTTTTTTCGAGTAAATAGAATTGTATTCTTTAAAAAATGTGAAGTTTTTGAATTAAACTGAATAAAGATTTAAAAAACAAAGATAACGACAAAGAGTGATTTAGTAGTTATAAATCAATGAATATCCCGATTTTTTAACAGTAATTTCATGGAATAAAACATTCATTTGTTTGAATAACAATGAATATCCCGTTTTTTTTTTCAAAAAACGTAAAGATTTGAATTAAACTGAATAAAGTTTAAAAAAAATGATTAGATTACATGATCAACATCAATTATTTAAAAAACAAAGATGACGACAAAATAGTGATTTAGTAGTTATAAATGAGATTTTCATGGAATATAACAGAAATTTTTTCTAATAACAAAACACTCATACCTGATTCCACTGAATCAAGAGGTTAATAAAAGAATCAAATTTAAAAATTTGAAAATAAGGAACAAAGGTCGGGATATGTATAAGTGTTTTTTTTTTTTACTAATTAATTTTTTTTTCGAGTAAATAGAATTGTATTCTTTAAAAAATGTAAAGTTTTTGAATTAAACTGATTAAAGATTAAAAAAACAAAACGATTAGAACCTACTTAAAAAGAACAAACGAATACATTAATAAACACAAACGAATAAGCAATCTTGACCATTGATTTAAAAAACAAAGATGACGACAAAAGAGTGATTTAGTAGTTATAAATGAGATTTTCATGGAATAAAACAGTCATTTGTTTTAATAACAAAAAACTCATACCTCATTCCACTAAATCAAGAGGTTAATAAAAGATTCAAATTTAAAAAACTGAAAAATAAGGAACAAAGGTCGGGACATGTATGAGTGTTTTTTTTACTAATTTTTTTTTTTTTGAGTAAATAGAATTGTCTTCTTTAAAAAATGTAAAGTTTTTGAATTAAACTGAATAAAGATTTAAAAAACAAAGATGACGACAAAAGAGTGATTTAGTAGTTATAAATGAGATTTTCATGGAATAAAACAGTCATTTTTTGTAATAACAAAACACTCATACCTGATTGAACTGAATCAAGAGGTTAATAAAAGATTCAAATTTAAAAATTTGAAAATAAGGAACAAAGGTCGGGATATGTATAATTTTTTTTTACTAATTAATTTTTTTTTTGAGCAAATAGAATTGTATTCTTTAAAAAATGTAAATTTTTTGAATTAAACTGATTAAAGATTAAAAAAACAAAACGATTAGAACCTACTTACATTCGGTTCAGTTAAAAAATAAACAGAGATGTAAACAAAGGAAATTGAAGTTAATAAGGTTAATATAATTAAAGTTAAAATTTGTAGCTTGTGATGTTAAGATGAGTACGGATATTGTGTTTGTTTGGAAAACAAAAGAAATACTTGAATTCCAGTTATTAACGTTAATAAAAATAAAAGAGTGAATTATATCCCTTACACAAACAATGAATTATTTTTTTTCTTAAAAAGAAAAGCGCAAATGAATACATTAATAAACACCACGTAAAATTTTGTTTTTGTTGTACTCAACATAGCAAAACATCACAAACTTAGACATTTAATAAACGTAAGTTAAAAAAGATGCAAACACTTAAAGATGTAATTCCAACAAAAAAAATGTCTATGCAAGAGTTTCTCAAATAAACATCATGTCCCAAGACGCAAAATAACACTCTTCAGTCACAGCAGCCCAATCTACAGCGTACTCTCATCTGCCTCTGCATCAAATCTATTTAAAAAAATAAAGAAAAAATAAATTATCATTGTTTTCACTTCGCGTAAGAAAAAATACATATAAACACAAATGAATTTTAAATAAAAATATAAGAACCACAGTACGTAAATCCTTTTCAACCTTTATTTTCTTTGTCGGCCGAACAACTGAAAATTTAAATTCTCCAGCAATGGAATCATGAGAAGTGAGCACAGGTGTCAACATCGTGAGAGAGACATCACTAACGTCAGCACTGTCACAGGTCTGACTTTCAACATCCTGTGTTTTTTTTTTTCATATAAAAAAGGTATGTCAAATATGTATTTATATATTTTTAATAACATGAATCTAAATCGAATTCATAGCTCACCGCAGCCTTTTCCAGTTCCGACGAAACAACTTCATTTTCGCGTGCATTATCGAAATTCGCTTCATCCTGTGATAGACAACAACCAACAACAGTAAATATAATGTATTGAAAAGAAGTTTTTGTATATTGATATTGAATAAATTACATGAGTGAGTATTTATACAAGAAAGAATCGCTAAGAATGACTAAGCGATGACTAATCAATCCTATCACAATCCTAATCACAATCAATTCTAATCAATCACAATTAATCCTAATCAATCATAATCAATCCTAATCAATCATAATCAATCCTAATTAATAGGAAATAAAAACGGAAACATGTTTGAATTCTAATTTTCTACACTCCCCCTCAAGTTGGGAGGTAAATATTGATCATTCCCAACTTGCCAATCAAGTCTTCGAATGCTGGACGGTGTAGGCCCTTGGTAAGGACATCTGCCGTTTGCTCTTTGGTTGGAACATATATCAAATGCACACTTCCATCATCTAATTTTTCTTTGATGAAGTGACGATCAACTTCCACGTGCTTTGTTCGATCATGATGCACAGGATTTTGAGCAATGCTAACAGCTGCCTTGTTGTCACAATATAGTTTTATTGGTAGGGAATATGAAATCTTCAACTCTTGAAGAAGTCTTCTCAACCAGATTCCTTCACAAACTCCATGAGCTAAAGCTCGAAATTCTGCTTCAGCACTACTTCTTGCAACCACTGTTTGCTTTTTGCTTCTCCAAGTAACAAGATTTCCCCACACATAGGTGCAATAGCCTGAGGTAGATCTTCTGTCTACTGATGAGCCTGCCCAATCTGCATCAGTGTAGATTTCAATTGTCCTTTTATACCCCTTTTTAAAGAATAATCCTCTTCCTGGAGTATTCTTGAGGTATCTAAGCACCCTATAGACTGCACTAAGATGCTTCTCCTTGGGTGAGTGCATGAATTGACTAATCATACTCACCGCAAAGGCAATGTCAGGACGCGTATGAGATAAGTAGATTAGTTTACCAACCAATCGCTGATATTGTTCTTTATCCACCTCATTCCCATCTTCAATACCTAACTTGGTATTAGGTTCCACAGGTGTCTCAGCAGGTTTACACCCTAACATTCCTGTTTCCAACAAAAGATCTAGAACATATTTCTTTTGTGTTAGAGTGATGCCTGTTTTGCTCCTAGCAACTTCCATACCAAGGAAATATTTGAGAGTGCCAAGGTCTTTGAGTTCAAATTGAGCTGCTAGAAATTTCTTCAAGGTGTTCAATTCCTCAATATCATCACCTGTAAGAATTATATCATCTACATATACAATAAGAATAGCAATTTTACCATCCTTAGAGTGTTTGTGGAAGAGAGTATGATCAGTCTGTGCTTGAATGAAGCCTCTTCTTTTGACTGCTTGTGTGAATTTGTCGAACCATTCTCTGGGAGACTGTTTCAATCCATATAGAGACTTTTTTAGTTTACACACTGATTCATTTCCCCTTTCAAAACCAGGTGGAGGATCCATATAGACTTCTTCATGTAAGTCACCATTTAGGAATGCATTCTTCACATCTAACTGTTGCAGAGGCCAATCTAGATTGGCAGCAAGAGATAAGAGAACTCGGATGGTATTGACTTTAGCAACCGGAGCAAAAGTCTCATGATAATCTATCCCATGAGTCTGAGTGAAACCCTTTGCAACCAATCTTGCCTTGTATCTGTTGATGCTATTATCTGCATTGAATTTTATTGTAAACACCCATTTGCATCCTACTGCCTTTTTTCCTTTGGGTAGGGTCACTATCTCCCAAGTTCCATTTCTTTCTAAAGCATTCATTTCTTCAAAGACAGCATCCCTCCATTTTTTATCATTGAGAGCCTCATGTATATTTCTCGGTATCTTTGTACTATCCAACATAGTATTGAAAGCACGAAACCCTGGGGACAACTTTCCATATGAAATATGATTAGAAATAGGATGAGTAGTACAAGATCGAGTACCTTTTCTGAGAGCAATGGGCAAGTGTAGATCATTTTCACCATGACACTCAAGTATTGGGGTGCTGGAACTAGAACATGGTTCAGAATCCTGGCAGTGTAGAGGCTCTGGGTTATTCACACTTTGAGGAGGCTTTCGCCTGCTATAATCTTGTCCCCATTTTGAGGAGGCTCCTGATGGTGAGGATTCTGTAGCTCCCCCTGTTTCCAAAAGTAGAGGTAATACTGTGGCATTAATAGGTTCCCATGACTGATCTTCATCTACTCCTATAGACTCCCCCTGAAGAGAAGTCGAGGGGAAGAAAGGGTCATTCTCAGAAAAAGTGACATCCATAGAGACAAAGACCTTACGAAGAGAGGGTGAATAACACTTATAGCCACGTTGAGTAGGAGAATAACCAATAAAGACACACTGGAGAGACTTAGGATCAAGCTTAGACCGTTGATGGGAGGGAATATGGACAAATACAACACAACCAAATAACTTGAGAGGTAAGGAGGAGACACCTCGGAAGGAAGGGAAGATACGAACAAGACTAGAAAGAGGAGACTGAAATTTCAGAATGCGAGATGGCATTCGATTTATCAGATACGAGGCAGTGAGAACTGCCTCTCCCCAAAGATATTTAGGAACACTCGTGGTAAACATAAGAGCCCGAGCAACTTCAAGGAGATGTCGGTTTTTTCTTTCCGCAACTCCGTTTTGTTGGGGTGTGTCAGGACACGAGCTTTGGTGAAGGATGCCATGTTGGGAAAGATATTCTCCAAGAATAGAGTTAAAATACTCTTTGCCATTATCTGTACGAAGAATTTGTATAGCAACTTGGAATTGGGTTTGAACCATGGCATGAAATTTTTTAAACACGGATGCAGCATCGGACTTATCCTTTAGAAGATACACCCAACAAACTCGAGAATGGTCATCAATGAAGGTAATGAACCATCGAGTACCTGAAATATTTTTAACACGGGCTGGACCCCATATGTCGCTATGAATTAAGGAAAATGGGGAAGAGTCATGGTGAACTTTAGAAGGATAATGAGCACGAGTATGCTTGGCAAGTTGACAAATATCACAAGAAAATAAACTTGGACTTTTATTAATAAATAAGTTTGGCAACAACTTCTGAAGATAAATAAAATTTGGATGGCCTAGCCTACGATGCCACAGCATAACATCATTACATGAATCAAAAGGAAACATAGAGTTTTTTTCTACGAAAACAGCTTCATGAGTCACATCCTCCTCAAAGTAGTAAAGTCCACCATCCTCTCTAGCACTGCCAATCATCCTCTCCGAGTCCTGTTCCTGAAAAACACAACCATGTGGAAAGAATTTAGCAAAGCAATGCAACTCAGAGGTGAGCTTGCTAATGGAAATGAGATTACAAGTCATAGAAGGAACATAAAGAACTGATGTCAAAGTAATCAGCTCAGAAAGTTTAATGGTTCCGTGTCCCGCAATCTGGGAAAAACTGCCATCGGCGATCTTGACCCGAGAAGGTTCAGAATATGGAGTGTATGAACAAAACAAGCCAAGATTACCTGTCATATGATCAGAGGCTCCAGAATCAAGGATCCAATGATTTTGACTATCAACATGGAAAGTTGTACCTTGCTGGACCACATGACTAGTGGCCTTAGGAGGTTGCTCGTGGTAATAAAAAGAGTGTTTTGAGGAAGCCATGAATAAAAAGAGAAGGGTTGACCGTTGATGAAAAATCAAGTTTTGTAAACTTTTGATCTGACCTCTGGAACAGGAAGGGGAGAAGCCGGCGAGAAGGTCTGTGCAAGTCGCGACGGAAAAAAAACGTCTGGAAGGCGGCGCGTGGTGGCGCGTGCAGCGGCTGACGGCGATGGGTCCAGCGGCGGTCGACTCGTCGGATCCTTCTGAGTCGAATGGTCACCTCACTTTTTTTGATCGGAGGTCAGTAAACTAGGTTTCTGTGTTGGACAGATTCAAGGCGGTGTTTAGGAGGTGTTTGACGGTGATGGAAGTGTTTGGATGGTTATTTCAGATTTGAATTAGGGTAGGAACGAACCCGCTCTGATACCATATTGAAAAGAAGTTTTTGTATATTGATATTGAATAAATTACATGAGTGAGTATTTATACAATAAAGAATCGCTAAGAATGACTAAGCGATGACTAATCAATCCTATCACAATCCTAATCACAATCAATTCTAATCAATCACAATTAATCCTAATCAATCATAATCAATCCTAATCAATCATAATCAATCCTAATTAATAGGAAATAAAAACGGAAACATGTTTGAATTCTAATTTTCTACATAATGTATAAGAAAAATAGTTATCTAAAAGAAATATATAAGCAGCATACATTTGGATCTATAAGATACTTAATGAACGCTGAGATTATGTCTTCGCTGATACAAATTTTGGAAACTTGATATTTGGGCTCACTATTTGTGTTCAAATCCTTTTGCTTAACATTTATCTTGAACAACATTGACTTTTCATTCAGAACATTTAACTCATTTGGAAATTGATCCAAATCGGCACCCTAAAAAAAATGAAAAGGAAAAAAAAAATTATTCTCAAAAAAATAGAACAGAACATAGACAGCGCAAACAGAGAGCACAAAACGACAAAAAATACATTTTAACCATAACACAGCAATTAAAAAACAAACCCTCTTGAAATGCAGCTCGCGCAATTCAGCAGCACTCATTCCCAACAAAGACACACAGTCGCAATCAAACAGAATAAAGGATGCGGAATCTGTGTTATCCACAACTCTGACCTGAACACTAAATCTGGAGTTTTGCGAAATTGTATATCAGCAACGTACATGAATGATACGGATTAAAGACAGGTTATAAACTAAGAAGAATATTTTACCTCGGATAATAATCTTCCCAATGTTTTTGGCAGTTCTTACAATACCACTTCTCAAAATCCTCATAAACGGAAAATGGACACTTTTTGCATGACTTGTACCACCAGTTGTATTTGCTCTCAATTGCCTTTATAGTCCCGTATGTGATGCAAGTAGTTACCTTAATTAAAGCAATCGCAGTTTAACATAAAATATCATGCTATGGCGTTGTTTAACTCGAAAGTAGAAAAATTAAAACAACGTTGTTTGGAAAAAACATACCTCTAAAACACTTAATCCTTCCCAGTTGGACTATCAGGACGTTATGAGGATCGTCGTTGTCTGCCAAAAAAGATTGGTCCTCATCCACATAATGCTCCCACAAAGTGCACTCCAACTTATGACCCCTACACGTGAGTTCCAGCAAGCACAACGTTAATACGCGTAAAATATAAGCTAACAGAGCTGGACAAAAATAATTCATTTAACTAAACATTTGTAAGTACCTCAGGTCGTCAAGCTCCAACACCACCATTTTTGTCTTCCTACCAGAAACCACACGATCACAAACTTTCCCAATTCCTGAGATTAAACCAATGACGTCTACAAAAAAAAAACGCAGCAAAGAGTTTGTGAAAAAAATTATGCAATAATAAAAAATGAATACAGAAACATAAAAAACACAGTTAATGAAAATAATAATGATACAGAATAAGATTACTCGTGACAACATTAAAAACACAAAACTATAACCGCAAAGAGTTTAAAAATAAGGAGATAGCCATGATACAGAATAAACCAATGACGTTTAAAAATTAAAAAAAGGCAGCAAAGAGTATGGGAAAAAAATAAAACCCGCAATAATTAAAAAAAGGATAACAGTGAGGAAGAATCTATTACCGACTAAATAAGGGGAGTCAGACGTTTCTTTCTCAATGATGTTATAATCAATAAAATCAAAATCACTCGCACAAATATCATAAACAACAATCGATTTAACATCAGTCCTCAAGTTGAAAGACAAACGATATTGATGCTTGGTTGGCCTAAACACATCGCTATTGAATCCAACTCCAAATTTTTTTTATAAAATAGCACTCTCCTTCGTTGATTTTATTCTGCACCTGCAAGGTACCTTTGACAGTGGCGTGGATCCTACCACCCTACAAAAGAATGGAGCCAACTTATGTCAACAACGTTAACTAAAATGATCAAAAAAATGATGGAAGATTTTTAAAACACAGAACACAACCTGTTCATCCAATAAAACCATTTCAAGATTGTCCTCCAAATTTTTACGCTGAAAGTTAGGAACTTTCCAAGTCCGAACCACCTTCACCTTAATCCTCCAGTCCTCCTTGGCAGGATTAACATCCTTCAGAAAATCATATTTTGAACTCATATTTTGTGTAAGAAGAAAAAACAGAGAAGCAATCATCGACGTTGAAGAATAATGCGTATCAGGAATTGTATAAATGAGAGTGATTTATAGTTTTTGAATTGTCTTCTTTAAAAAATGTGAAGTTTCTGAATTAAACTGAATAAAGATTTAAAAAACAAAGATAAAGACAAAAGAGTGATTCAGTAGTTATAAATGAGATTTTAATGGAATAAAATAGTCATTTGTTTTAATAACAATGAATATCCCTTTTTTTTTCAAAAAACGTAAAGATTTGAATTAAACTGAATAAAAGTTAAAAAAAATGATTAAATTACATGATCAACATCAATTATTTAAAAAACAAAGATGACGACAAAAGAGTGATTTAGTAGTTGTAAATGAGATTTTCATGGAATAAAACAGAAATTTTTTCTAATAACAAAACACTCATACCTGATTCCACTGAATAAAGAGGTTAATAAAAGATTCAAATTTAAAAATCTGAAAATAAGGAACAAAGGTCGGGATATGTATAATTTTTGTTTTTTACTAATTAATTTTTTTTCGAGTAAATAGAATTGTATTCTTTAAAAAATGTGAAGTTTTTGAATTAAACTGAATAAAGATTTAAAAAACAAAGATAACAACAAAGAGTGATTAAGTAGTTATAAATGAATGAATATCCCGTTTTTTAACAGTCATTTCATGGAATAAAACAGTCATTTGTTTTAATAACAATGAATATCCTGTTTTTTTATTTCAAAAAATGTAAAGATTTGAATTAAACTGAATAAAGGTTAAAAAAAATGATTAGATTACATGATCAACATCAATTATTTAAAAAACAAAGATGACGACAAAGAGTGATTTAGTAGTTATAAATCAATGAATAAGCAATCTTGACCATTGATTTAAAGTAACAAATCCTGTCAATTGAAAATATAATTCTTTTTTGTATTTATTATATTCACCGACTTACCATTAAAGGAAACTTTTTTAAATGTTGTAGTGTGAACACATTGGTGAAATTGAACCACAGTGCGACACGTCAGCAAGGTTTCCACAGAATGGAATTCCTTGATAATATAAGACTATGTTTTTGAGAAATAAAATATATCAAGTGAGATGTCATTGCGCAGATCTCAAAAAGTTATGTGAAATCAAAAAAAGAATTACCTGATTTGGATACCCGAGTCAAAAGTTATGGCATTCAGAAGTTTTATGATTAAATTATTTTTTCTTAGAAAAAAATATGACCCAATTTGATTCTATCATACCTTCAAACCTCAATAAGAATTAGAAAAAGAATAACTGAAATAATAATAATTTGTTATTATTTGGTTATATTTGAATAATAATTCTATTTTTAAATTTATATAACTAATATGACATAAACTTATATGAGCTTTTGGTCTATTTTCTAAATAGTCTTTTTAATGCCTGTGTATGTTCTGAGCCAAGCTGGCTAAACCGACCCTTGAGAGATTCTCCGACTAATTTACGCCTCTATTCATAACCCGATCAGATAAAACTAATCTTGAGTGACAATAAAAGGGGTCTAAATGTTTTCAGTTAAATTATATATCAACTACTAAAATATAAATACTTGGATATGGAGTATATTTTTTTTTCTTTCAAGCACAAATTTACTTGCTCGATCCAACGATTTCAAATATATTTTTATCCTATTTCGGTGCTAACTAATTTTTTTGCATATAGGTGCTAACTAATTTTACCAAAATGTAGTTTCGACCTCTTAGGTGAATATGATAAAATGTGAATGAATATATTAAGAGTAGGAAAGGATATGAGCATGATAATCTCATATTATCTTATCATGTGTTTGTTATGCATTAGATAAATAATCTAATAATATAATATTATCCTATTTGTTGGTTGAAGCGAATCATATTTGATGTGCACTATATAA